CAGTTTTTTTAGCATGTTCTTCATCAAGTATAGTTTATCCATACCAAAGTTTAGCTCAAAATTCAATCGGGAAGACAGTCAAATAAATTCTTGAAATATATGGTGCATCTTGCGCACATATAATGTGCAGTATATTTCAAGAATTTATTTGACTGTCTTCCCAATCGAATTTTGAGTTGAAATTTGTTATGGATAAACTAGACTTGATGAAGAACATTCTCTAAAAATTTCATCAAAAAATTCCATCAGGAAGGGCCTCTAATGGCTTTGTCCGTACGAAGCTTCATGTACATCATATGTACAGGAACAGCCCTCGTCTTAAATGTAATCTAACATGGTATGATTTGAAGGTAAAATCAACTTAATCACAAACTAATACTCGGTTGCAAAGACTCCGTATTAACAATGTAAAATAATATACTTTACGTTTTTTTCTCTCTAGGGTTCGGCGGTTTTCCGCCGTTGCCTTAGTGTAGCCCGATATTTCCCTCTTCGCCTGTCAACCTTGGTTCGAATTGTATCGATACTAAGGAAGGCGAGAAGGTGGCTTTGGTTTGTTGCTATCGGCAGGTTTTGGAAGAGTGCAGACGAAGACATCAAATTCGCCTGCTGTGGCTGTGGGTTTGGGACGAGCAAGCTTTTCTCTCGAAGGGGCATATCGGCGGCTGTGGTTTGGGATTTTTCAACTATGGAGGATGTGGTAGAGCAGTATAGACGACTGGCTTTGGAGAAAGAAAATAGTACACTGAATTTTGATGATGAGGAAGAAGAAGAAGCAACCGTTCCAAAGGCAAATGTGGCGGAGTTTCGGTGGTGGAGTCATCCTCACCGACCGGAAAGTCAGATCTCAGTCAGTACAGGAACTGTTTGTATCGCTCTGGGGGCCAGGAAGAGGAATGGTGTTTCAAGAAATTGATGAAAAGATGTATCTTTTCACTTTTAATCATAAAATTGATATGAATCGTGTTATAGAAGATGGTCCTGGCTATTTGAGTGGAATCTGTTACTGCTAAAGGCAATTGGCCCTAATGATATACCGCATAAAATGGACTTGTTTGAAGCAGAGTTCTGGGTGCAAGTGCACAATGTGCCGTACAAGTTTATGAATGTAGATACTGCTAGGAGGGTGGGTAACTATATTGGGGAATTTATTAGTTTTTTTATGAAAGCCATTTTAAGGGAAAATGGAGTTCTTACTTGAGGGTTAGGATAAAGATGGATGTCAGAAGACCCCTAAAAAAGGGTTCCACTTTGACTAAGGGAGGGGAAGACACTGGGTAGATTTTAAATATGAAAAACTACTAAGCTTCTGCTTCATTTGTGGGATTATGGGGCACTCTGAGAAGTTTTGTCCATTAAAATATGTGGAGGGTCTAGTTTTGGAGAAAAATTTTAGTGCTGATCTCAGAGCAGGTGGTGGGGGTAAGATTAGCCCCACGAGGGGCGGTAAGTGGTTGGGGGATAAACAGGGAGGTTCGAGACAGCACTGGAGGCTCAACATAATGGAGATGGCACTATGGGACAGGAACGTAGGGAAATACAGCTGAGTCTGATAGCAGTGGCACAAAGGAAGAGACTAGAAGCGGTGCAGGGGAGGTCGCGGTGGATCAAAAGCGTAGGAGAGTCTGGAAGGAACCGTCAGAGGAAAACAACTCAAGGGAGGAGATGGCACTGGACAACACAAAAATGGGAGGAGGCGGGTCCCAGCTCCTAGGCCCGCCTGATGTGTTCATGAAGCTGCAGGTGCAGAGTTTCCACGGTGGTGCTTATTTTATTATTGCTTGTTTTGTTTCTTTGATGGTCAGGCTGTTGTTTTGGTTATTTGTTTTGGTTATTTATGTAAGACTCTTGCATTAGGCTCGGGTGATGAGTTTGCTGCAGTAACCATTATTGGCTCAGTTATGCCCAGTTTAGGATCAGCGAGTTATACTGCTTTTTTGAAGGTGGTTAACTCAGAGTCTGGCCCAAGGGCAGATGGTTATCGGTGGTACTCTTGTTATTTTAGATCCTTGCTGAATGCTTTTATTCTAATATAAGCCCCTTTCATTAAAAAAAAAACAATGTAAAATAGTTAAATCAAATATAACTATCAATTTAAAGTGTATGGCTAATTTTCAAGAGGTATCTGGGCTATCAATTAATATAGCTAAATCAAATATTTTCTTAGCTGGGGTTCATGGACAGGAGCAGGAGCTGATTCTAAATTTGGTGGGCATTCCGACTGGACAGTTTCCAGTGAGATACCTGGGAGTGCCTTTGGCCCCAGCAGGTGTCAGTAGCCCAATACTCCCCTCTTATTGAAAAACTAGTTTTTGTGTCGCGCGTTGCGTGATTGAGTTAGTGCCGCCTGCCCAATACATTCATGAAAAACTGTTTTTATTAGTACTAAAATGGTAGCAGTGGATTTCCTTTTTATTTAGAATTAAAATGGTAGTGGTGGATTTCATTATATGTATGTATGAAATATGAACATTTATTTATTAATTTTTTGAGATAGGAAACTACTAATATGTCTCGTATAAAAATGGGTTAATTACTTAATTATCATCTTTGATTCAAATCACAAAATCAAAGAGTTGACAGCTAAACTTGGGCACCAAAATTTGTGTTTAAGAGGATGTAGGCCTGCAAGAGTATAATAGCCTTCAAATTTTAGTAGAATAGGACCCTGCTAGGAAGTAGATACAACTTTTCAATTTAATGATACTGGGGTACGGTGTTATCATTTTCACTTAAACAATCTCTTATGAAAAAAAAGAGGTGAAGCTTTTAAAGCAATAGAAATAATACTATCGTACAAAGTTTTTAAAAATGTGGGTAAATAAATTATAATCCAACACTTTACAAAAATTAAAAGGTTACATATATGAACATATATACGGGTTTTTATTTGAGTATTACTAATTTTGAACCAATTTCCAAAAAAGTGATCACCTTTAAAAAGGGGCAAAAAAGTGATCAAGAAGGGCATATATGTGGAATTAAAAAACATGATGTCACTGCAAAAAATTTATGTCACTGTGTTCGTTTTTTTGTAACTAAGAGTCGTCATCGTCAAATTTTTTCACACCAATTACACCGTCACCACCACAGTGACGTCGCCATAGTGACGCCGCCACAATTCGTATGTCACTTTTAAATGTCACTGATTCAATGTCAACGGAAAACATGTCACTATAATCATTTTCGATCCATGAAATCACAACCGCCAGCACTGCCGCCGTTCAGCCGCTGTCCCAACCCCTGTTCAGCTTGTTCCAACACCCCAATCCCACACAGAAACTCAGCATGTCCCCACACCCAACTCCCCAGTCCCCTGTTCCCACTGCTTTTATACCTCCACCTGACCTCCCACCTCCACCCATTTCCGGTTACCAACGTAGGTAACCTGCCGCCGCCCCTCTCCGGCGGCTGGCATCACGAGCCCCGCCCACTATCCCACCCCCAAACCACTCCTCTAGTTCCAGCCCCGATCAACCCCTCCCCAGCCCCACTTCCATGATTCCCTGTTCGCTGTCCCAGCCCCATCCCACTCCCCCAGATCTAGCTTCAACTTCGAGCGACACAATCCCGTTCCACCCTTTCCCAGCCCACCTTCAACATCTTAGCCCCGAGAACTCGTTATTGAACCCCAGCCGCCGCCATCCCCAAATCTGATGCGAGGCAATGCAAGATAACACTGAGCCGCAGCGATGCGATGCGAAGGAATGGCCGGCGAGGCGATTCAAGCGGCCTGCAAGGTGATGCGAAGTAGTGGCTGGCGAGGCGTTGCAGGTCGGCGATTCGATGGGAAGCGCGGTGCGGCGGAGGTGGCGGCCATTGTTGTGGCACAGTGGAGGGGGAAGCAGAAGATCGCGGAGGAGAAGAAACTGTGCGTAGGTGAGACGCGGGGACTGGAGAAGAAAAGACGAGAGATGTTTTTAACGGATTAGGTTACAATTTTGGGAAATTTTAAAATGCTCATTTTTTTGTCTTGTGAAATGTTGTGGGTAATTGTTGTGCCATTATTATTTCACATATATACGAGGTGAAGTTTTTATTTATGAGTTATGATTCAAAGCAGCACATTCGTGTTTTATTTAAAATATATTACGTAGTATGTGATATCGAGTCCATGTCTTCTATTAAAGGTTAATTTTGTACTTTTACATGGGATTGGAGAAGAAAAGCATGCATCTACAATGGATTTTAACTATTTGTATCACCTAATAGCAACAATGTCCATGGAATAAATCAGACTAATATTAACATTTGACATAACCTCATAACCAAATAAAAAGCTAAGTGGGTAGCCACTAAATTGACGCCCATTGGCATATCAATAACATAAGAGCATCTTTAATGCTAAAACGTTAACGGTTCATATGTGGCATAAAAGTTAGCCAATCAAAAAATAATAAATAAAATAACTCTCTCCTTATTTGAAGGATTTTATATCTTTTTGGTAAGTTTCCCTTCACAATGTCAAGCACAATGTCTAGATGTAGACATTGTGATTGACATTGCAGGGAAAAACTTACCAAAAACACATAAGACCGTGGAAAGACGGAGAGAGACATGTCATAAAATCAATCTTTTGTGTCTATCCCTCTCATGCCACATGTGCACCGTGCACATTGTAGCATTGAAGATGCTCTAAGAACCTTTTCCAATCACATGGTTCCATTAATAGCGCATGCAATTTTTCTACAAATAAAAATATAAAATGCAAATTAGCAAAGCTGTAAAATCAATAAGTGTTTGAGGACCAAACTAATAAATAGTGACATGAAAATCTGTAACTAATTAATTAGACAAGCGTGCATTCCCAACTTTTAAATGTAGTTCTTAAGAGTCATTCCTCCAACAGGGGATTCATTAGTTCCTTAAGTTAACCATGTTATAGTCACATTATTTAGAGCCTGTTTGGTAACACTTTATTCAGTTTATCAGCCTTATCAGCCAACTTTTTCATCAAATACGTAACTTTTGATTTCACGCGCTGAAATGTGTAATAATAAGAAAAAGTAAGGTTGAAGTTACTTTTCTGGCTTTTTAGGCTGAAGTTACTGTAGAAGACCATTTTAACTATTTTCACATATAATTTTTTCTTTATCTTATTAATAAAACATATTTTAAATTTATTTTTTTCATAAATCAACATAATCAGCCAATACAGCCACTGAAACCAGAACTTAATAAATTTCAGCAGAATCAGCCGATTTCGGCGTTACTAAACGGGCTCTAGCTTAGTCACTTTTACCTAAGATGAACAAGCATAGTAAGTTCAGGGGGAAATTATGAAATTCTAAAATGGTATAGAGGTCGTTTGGTAACCTTGTTTTTTAGCTTATCAACCTTATCAATCAACCTATCTTTTCACCAAACACATAATTTTTTATTTCGCGCGTTAAATGTGTGATAGTCAAAATAAGTAGCGTTGAAGTATAAATGGGGTTGAAGTTATTTTTCTAGCTGCATTGTTTGAAGTTATTGTAGAGGATCATTTTAACTATTTTTTCATATAATTTTTTCTTTGTGTTATTATTAACATATTTTAAACATACTTTTTCATTAATCAACAGAACCAGTTCATCCAGTCATTTCAGCCAAAACTTTAAAAATTTCAGTAGAATCAGTCGATTTAGCCGATTTTAGTGTTACCAAATGGATTCTTAGTCAAACTCTTAAGTGAGTTCAATCTATATGTGCAGTTATTATGAACATCGGGCCAAATAAATTAAGACCAACCAGCATAACACATAGAGCACAATCGATTCGAACACAACATAGTAAGGAAAGCAAAAGATAAGATTCAAAAGTTTTTGAGGTCTAGAATTAATTTTGGTGTTGGTAAAGTGAACAAAAACATACCTTACAGTATTTCCATTCTCCGTTAGAACTCTCCGCCCATGTGTTCACTTTCCATTGCAATTAAGGTTTAATAAGCGGCCGTTTGGCAACATTGTTTTTCGGTTTATCAGGCTTATCAGCCAACTTTTTTACTAAAAGTGATAAGCAGGAAAAAGTAAGGCTGACGTTACTTTTCTGATTGTATTGGCTGAAGTTAATGTAGATGACCATTTTAGCTGTTTTTACATATAACTTTTTCTT